ATATATATATATATATATAGTGGTGATGACTTTGACATGATTTCTAGGATTTTCGGTGTTAGCCGGAAGTCTACCACTAGAAGATAAGGTTTGTGTAGACCCTTGAGTGCCTCATCCTTGATTTTGAGCTTGTAGATTCTCCACTTGAGATTGCAACTTGCATTCTCATAGGCATCCATCCCGAACTCCTCAAGCTCATTCAAGTGTAACAACCTCTTTTCTCTCGCCGAGTTCTCATCCAAATTTAACCTTGAAACAGCCCAATATGCCTTGTGTTCATACTCAACCGGCAAATGACATGACTTCCCAAACACAATTTTAAACGGAGAAACATCAATTGGAGTCTTGAATGCGGTCCTTAGGGCCCATAATGCATCATCTAGCTTCAAAGACCAATCCTTTCTTGTTGAACTCGCCACCTTTTCAAGAATAGATTTGATTTCCCTATTGGCCAACTCTACTTGCCCACAAGTTTGTGAATGGTAGGGCGTAGAGAGCCGGTGATGAATACCATACTTGAGAAGAAGTTTCTCCAAAAGCTTGTTGCAAAAATGTGTGCCATTGTCGGTTTTGAAAGCTCTTGGCATGCCAAACCGGGAGAATATATTCTTCTTGACAAACTTGAGCACGGTCTTTGAGTCATTCCTCGGAGTTGCAATTGCTTCTACCCACTTTGACACATAATCCACCGCTACAAAGATATACTCATTCCCAAAAGAATGAAGAAATGGACCCATGAAGTCCATCCCCCACACATCAAACAACTCCACTTCAAGTATACCCTTTTGAGGCATCTCATGTCTTCTTTCAATGTTCCCGGTCCTTTGGCAATTATCACACTTGCGCACAAATTCTCTAGTGGTAGCAAACAAAGTGGGCCAAAATAACCCGGATTGTAAAACTTTTAAAGCCGTGCGGTCGGCGCTCATGTGTCCTCCATATGGTGAAGAGTGGCAATGACTCAAAACAGTTAGAAATTCCTCCTCCGGTATGCACCTTCTCACAATTCCATCGACACATCTCTTAAAAAATAGGGGCTCATCCCAAAAGTAATCTCTCACGTCATGCAAAAGTCTCTTTTTCTTGTTGAAATTGAAATCCTTTGGGATGTACCCGCTCACAAGGTAATTCACAATGTCTGCGAACCAAGGCACATAGTTTCTTCCCAATTCACTCAAAATGAAAAGTGTTTCTCCCTTGAATGAGTCATCAATGGGCAACTCATTTTCCTTGTGGCCCTCAAGTCTTGAAAGGTGGTCCGCCACAACATTCTCGGAGCCTTTTTTGTCTCTTATTTCCAAATCAAACTCTTGAAGAATAAGAACCCAACAGATCAACCTCGGCTTGGCATCTTTCTTTTGGAACAAGTACTTCAAAGCCGCATGATCGGTGTGAACTATCACCTTGCTTCCCATGAGATAAGACCGGAATTTGTTCATGGCAAACACCACCGCTAGAAGCTCCTTCTCGGTTGTTGCATAATTCACTTGGGCTTCATCAAGCGTATGCCTTGCATAGTGGATCACATGGTAGCTCCGGTTCCTCTTTTGGCACAACACTGCCCCAACCGCATAGTCACTTGCATCACACATTAACTCAAACGGTAAACTCCAATCGGGGGGTTGAATGATGGGAGCATGGCATAAGGCCTCCTTCAACTTGTCAAATGATATAAGGCAAGACTCATCAAAATCAAAATTCACATCTTTGGCAAGCAAATGAGTAAGGGGCTTTGCAAGTTTGGAAAAGTCTTTTATGAATCTTCTATAGAACCCGGCATGCCCAAGAAAACTTCTCACTCCTTTAACGGTGGTCGGCGGTGGCAATTTTGATATGACTTCTATCTTTGCCGGGTCCACCTCAATTCCTCTTGCCGAGACCTTGTGCCCAAGAACTATTACTTCGGTTGCCATGAAATGACACTTCTCCCAATTTAGCACGAGATTCACCTCTTTGAACCTACACAAAACCTTATCAAGATTGATTAAACATTCATCAAATGACTTCCCATAAACGGAGAAGTCATCCATGAACACTTCCATGATCTCCTCCACCAACTCGGAGAAAATAGCCATCATGCATCTTTGGAAAGTGGCCGGCGCGTTACACAAACCAAATGACATCCTTTTAAAGGCAAAGGTGCCATATTGGCATGTGAATGTGGTTATCTCTTGATCCTCGGGGTGGATAGAAATCTGAAAATATCCTGAAAATCCATCTAAGAAGCAAAAATATTCGTTTTTGGACATTCTTTCAAGCAATTGGTCAATAAATGAGAGGGGGTAGTGATCCTTCCTAGTAGACTTGTTCAATTTTCTATAATCAATGCACATTCGGTGCCCAGTAACAAGTCTAGTAGGAATCAACTCATTATTCTCATTTTCAATGACCGTTATACCGCCTTTTTTCGGAACAACATGTATGGGACTAATCCACTTGCTATCCAAAATAGGGTATATAATGTCGGTCTCAAGCAACTTTAAAATCTCTTTCTTTACCACATCTTTCAAATTAGGATTCAATCTCCTAAGGGGCTCCACAATAGGCTCGGCATTGTCCTCTAAATAAATTCTATGCATGCAATATTTAGGATCAATGCCAATCAAATCCCCAATTGTGTACCCAATTACCCTCCTATGTTTTCTAAGCACATTAAGCAATTTATCAATTTCATCATTGTGCAAAGAAGAATTAATAATCACCGGGTAAGTAGAGTTAGAGCTAAGAAAAACATATCAGAGATTTGGAGGTAAAGGTTTTAATTCTACCTTTGGGGCATGCTCCTCTCCAAGGGATTCAAGAATGGAAAGAGCTCCCGCAATGTTTTCAAAGTTGCTTCTCCACTTTTTCATGCCAAGGTCTACCTTGGTTTGTGTGCACTCTCCCAACTTTTCAAAGAAATTTTTCACAAGAGAGCCTCCTTGGTTATCTCTTCCAATCCCAAGCACCTCTCCAACACATTCTTCTATGGCTTCCACCATGTTGCACTCATCAATGTAAGAAGGTTGGTGCTTGGCCATCTTGAAGATGTCAAACTCAATTTTATGGCCGGCTACCTCTATCACAAGTTTCCCTCTCTTGACATCTATGATTGCCCCGGCGGTGGCTAGAAATGGCCTACCAAGGATTATTGGAACCTTCGTATCCTCCTCTATATCAAGAATCACAAAATCTCCCGGGATGTACAGTATTGATCAATCATGACCGGGATATCTTCAAGTACTCCCACCAGGCGCTTAATGGAACGGTCCGCCATTTGGAGTGTCATGGTAGTGGGCTTGGGCTCTCCAAGATTGAGCCTCTTGCATAGAGAGTAGGCATAAGGCTTACACTAGCTCCAAGATCACACAAAGCACGGCTCACCACAAATCCTCCAACAATGCAAGGGATAGAAAAACTTCCCGGATCTTTCAACTTAAGAGGCAAATTCTTTTGGAGAACGGCACATGTCAAAGCTCCCTCACTAAGGTCCACCACCGCACTCTTCGCCAATCTCTTCTTGTTACTCAAAATATCCTTCAAGAATTTTTTGTATGAAGGTATTTAAGTAATGGCTTCCACAAAGGGCATAGAAATCTCCAACTTATCAAGCATTGTTTTAAACTTGTTTTCTCTCTCAGTTTCTTTTGTTTTCCACAACCTTTATGGAAATGGCAACAAGTTGCAAGGAATCACCGAGTCATCTATGTGCTTGCCCTTGTTCACATTCTTCTTACTTGAGTTATTTCCTTCTTGTATTGGCTGCTTCCCTTTTGACTTGTTTCTTTGAATTAGAGGCTCATCATCATTTTCACTTTCAAGAATTTTTTCAATTCCCTCTTCATTTGGCCTTTCTTCATCTTCATCTTTCTCAACATCTTCTTCAATTCAAGTGTAAGATCATTAGAAGGAAAATGTGGATCTTTCAAAGATTTTCCACTTCTAGTGGTGATGGCGTTGACATGATTTCTAGGATTTTCGGTGTTAGCCGGAAGTCTACCACTAGAAGATGAGGCTTGTGTAGACCCTTGAGTGCCTCCTCCTTGATTTTGAGCTTGTAGATTCTCCACTTGAGATTGCAACTTGCTAATTTGAGACATTTGAGACATCATCATGTTCATTAATGTTTTCATATCCACATCTTGAGAAGGTTGAGAGGATCCTTGTTGATTTTGATTGTTTCCATGTCCTTGATTTCCTCTCCATTGTTGATTCAATTGATTTCCACCTTTATTTGCTTGATTTCCTTGAAAACTCGGAGGTGGATTCCTTCCTTACACACCTTGATTGTTCTAAGAAGATCCAAATTGATTCCTTCCTTGTTGACCATAATTTCCATATCCTTGCCCTTGGTTTTGGGGTCTAGAATACCCAATCATATCCACTTGCTCCATGTTTGGTAAAGAGCTTTGGCCACCAATAGACAAGCTTGAGAAGCATGAGCTCCACCACATATGGCACAACAAGCTACCATTGCCATGCTTTGGGAACCGGGAGAATTGTAAGTAGCTTGTGGCAAGGAATAAGGAGTAGACATGTACGATGCTTGAGGAGGAGTTTGAGTCACCACTTGCACATTTTGCTTTGGAGCTTGCATCATATTCTTGAGCATGTGTTGAATTGAATCCAATTGAGCTTGCATGGCCATCTTTTCTTCAACCTCAAACATCTCGGTGGTTTCTCTTTTTTTGGTGGGTCACTTCTTTCATTATACCAATATGCCGTGTTTGAAGTGATCCTCTCAATCAATTGTTCACCATACTCCGGATTAAATATGATATAATAATATCAAAAGGTGAAGGTTTATGATTGGTTATCCTAAATATTATGCCCGGAAGGTTTATGAAAGATTTATTGTTGTACTCTTTTTCTTTAGCCAAATTTTTTCCCATTTAGTTTTCTTAGCCTAAGGTTTTTAATGAGGCAACCTCGTATAACACATGTTTTGAAATTAATGCATCATATGCTCTTTTATCCCATATTGTATCTGTATTTTACTGATCGATCTAATGAAAGGTAGTTCTGGGGTTTCTGAGTTCACTCGTTCTCCTTTATCTTATTTTTTCTTGGCTTTTCCTACCGATTAGTCCATTACTTCCCTGCAATTGGTGCCATGCAATAATTCAGACGAGAATATGTCCAAATACACAACTTTTCCTTTATTTCTCACCAATCTCCTACAAATGGGATGCTGACATGCTGTTATAGTCATCCAAACTGCACTCCATCCCTACCACATTAACCTCCTCATCATCATCAATTCATCATTAATGGCCTCACTCCGTCCCTTTCACATCCACCTCTTCATCATCATCGTACTCACCTTCTTCTCCGGCATCACATTCTCCGACGACGGCGCTGTAATGTCCCAGCTCCTCGCTGCCATTTCTCCCGCACCCAACCACTGGTCAAACTCCACCCACTACTGTTCTTGGACTCACGTCACTTGCGACGACACCGCCGGGAAGAATGTCATATCCATCAAAATCGACTCGCTCTCCGTTTCCGGCGAACTCTTCTCCGGGATCACACAGCTCTCCTCGCTCAAAAACCTCTCCGTCTCCGGGAACTCCCTTTCCGGACCCTTACCTTCTTTCGCTAACATGCCGGAGCTCGAAGAGCTCCGGTTAGACGGCAATAACTTCAGCTCAGTCCCGCCGGATTTCCTCTCCGGTCTTCCCCGTTTGAAGAGTTTCAGCGTTTCTGGAAATCGAAACCTTAGTTCCTGGGAAATTCCCACGCACCTGAACCGAAGCAGTAATTTGGTTTCTTTCTACGCCAGTAACGCTAATGTTTTTGGTATCATTCCTGATTTCTTCGATTCTTTCCCAAATCTCGAGAACGTAATATTATCCTTCAACAATTTAACCGGGTCACTCCCCGGGTCGTTTTCGGGTTCCAAGATACGGGTATTGCGACTGGATAATCAGCAGCTAGGGCTCTCTGGTACTATTAGCGTGCTTTCCTCCATGAGAAAACTATCCCAAATATGGCTCCAAGGGAATGCCTTCACGGGTCAGATTCCGGACCTTTACGGGCTCCAAATTCTCTCCGATTTGCGCCTAGAAAACAACCGATTAACCGGCTTTATACCCGATTGGATGCGGAATCTGACGGAAATTCACGGATTACGAACTGTTTTTCTGCAGAACAACGAGTTACAGGGCCCGATTCCCCAATTTCAGTTCATCAAAATCCAGGTAAATCTAGGGAATAACAGTTTTTGCAGGGAAACTCCGGGGGATTGTGAGCCGCAGGTCACGGCGCTTCTCGATGTGGCTGCCGATCTCGGCTTCCCGTTAACCCTAGCCGAATCCTGGTCCGGGAATGATCCTTGCAGAAAATGGAGATTCATTAGTTGCGATCTGCAGGGGAAGGTGACCACTGTGAATCTGGAAAAACAGCGATTTTCAGGTAACATTTCGCAGATTTTGCTATCTTGCGAGAAATTGACTACATTGAGGAAATTGCTTTTGAACGACAATAATCTTACCGGCTCGATTCCGGATAACTTGGCCATTCCGCATCTGCTACAAATTCTCGACGTGTCTCATAACAATTTGTCCGGCTCCGTTCCTGATTTCCCCGATTCATTACGTTTCAATTGCTTCGGAAACCCCTTGCTTCGAATTCATGTGTCGAATTTCGCCGGCAAGATTGCTTGTATTGTTCTAGCGGCTCTTGTGCTTGTTATCGTGCTCGTATTGTTCGTCTCTTACAAGTTCTACACCAAACGCCTCCAATCGAAGGCACCTGGCCGGACCACGGCGATTACCACCGGGACTGGAACGGGCACTATATTCCCCATCCAAGTTCTTCAAAAAGCGACCGACCATTTCAGCGAGGAGAATGTGGTGGGGAGCGGAGGATATGGAGTGGTTTACAAGGGCGAATTAGACAATGGAACTAAGATTGCTGTGAAGAAGATGAAAGATGGGACAATGATGAGAGGATTGAACGAATTCCAAGCAGAAATCTCGTTTCTTGCCAAAGTTAGGCACCGAAATTTGGTCTCATTGCTTGGTTACTCCATTAACGAGAGTGAGAGGATCTTGGTGTATGAGTATATGCCACTGGGAACTTTGAGCCATCGCCTCTTTGAATGGCAAAACTATGGCTTTGATCCTCTAACTTGGAACCAAAGGGTAACGATTGCATTGGATGTGGGAAGGGGGATTGAGTATCTTCATAGTTTGGCTAACCAGAGATTCATTCATAGAGACATAAAGCCTTCAAATATTCTTCTTAGTGACGACATGAGAGCTAAGGTTGCGGATTTTGGGTTGGTCAAAATGATTCCGGATGATAAAAGTTTTGTTGAGACACGGATTATTGGAACATTCGGTTATCTTGCACCCGAATATGCAGGTAATTTTTTATCATATTCAATTCACATGCATAAATCTAACCCACAAAATAAATATTTCAAAAATTAACATACTTCTAACATTTGACATCTATTGTTAAGGCTAATTGGGCAAATTATTATGTGGACCACAATCTAAAACGATGTTGTTGAATTTTATGAGTTAGAATAATGTACATTATGTGTTAGAATAATGAAACTTCTAGAATAAAATAATGTACTTTATGAGTTAGAATAATGTACATTATAAGTCATAAAAATGTATATTGTAGTGGTCGTGTAAAATTCTTTTTACACAAAATGACATCATTTTTAGACCGTAGCCCACACACTTGCGGTCTACGCAATAACTATTAGGCTAATTGGCGAAAAGAATTTAAGCATTTGTAGTTTTGTACTTTGTCATACAAACTTATTTTTTGGAAGATGTCATACAAACTTTTAAAACTTACTATTTAGGGAAAATGACACTTTTTTCCCCTTTGTTATATACTTATAGCACTTTTCCCCCCTAAATTATTTAAGTGTCAGTTGTTCCCCTGATATATTAAATGGACATATTTACCCTTAAAATAAATATTTCATTTATTTTTCTTCTCCAACAAATTATAACCACGATTTGAAAAAATAAAATACATTAAGTGTTAAATTTAGAATATTTTAAAAATAAAAAAATAAAATTTTAAAAGAAAGTTTGAACCAACCGTTCAAATTGGATCCAAAATCGTGAACCGACGGTTCAAAATAAAACTCAAATCGCGATTATATATACTTATATGTGAGAGTCAATATAAATGTGGAAAAAAACATACATTATTTGCAAATATTATAATTCTAATTTAAGCTATTGCTAGTAGTTGTTCCGATTTGAACCTCCGGTTCACGGTTTAGGATCCATTTTTTTCCAGTTCACGATTTTAATAAACGGAAACCCAAATATTGGGTTATGTTATGAATCATAACCGAAATTTTTTAATTTGATTGCTATAGTGTTTGGTTCAGTTCAAACCGAACCGTGGTCATCCCTACGTATAAGCAATAATTTGGTGAAGAAGAGAAATAAATAAAATATTTGTTTTAAGGGTAGAAATGTCCATTTAATATTATCAGGAGGGGGGGGGGGGGGGGAACCGCCACTTCTATAATAATTGAGGGGGCAAATGTGAATGCATAAATAACTCAGGGGGAAAAAGTGCTATAAGCATATAACACAGGGGGAAAAAGTGTCATTTTCCCTACCATTTAATACCAAACATTTGTATCATTAGACAATTATAATATATACTCCTAAAAATAATTCAATTCAATTGTATCCATATCTTTAAAACTTGACAATTTAATATCAAACAATTTTATGTGTAGAACGTAATTTTGAAATTTTTAATTGTTTATTTCTTTAAATAATTCATGCGATAAATTATACTATGGATCATGGTCCACATTGCAATGTGGACTATGAATAAGTGTTTATTTTTAGTATACTAAAAATTCATTTTTTATGCAGTATATCAAATAAAATTCAGTACATAAAAAAAAAACATTTAATATATTAAAAATGAATCTTATGTCAAATGTTCATCTTGTAAGGTGAACTATGGTCAATGGTTTGATGATTGCATTCATGCCTTATGGAGTTATGGACCAACTTAAGAAATTTGTTTTATGTTGGATTTTTATTTATTTATTTATTTGGTTAGATTGGGAATCATTATTATTGTTATAAATACAAATGTTTGATATATATTAATTTTTCAAATTGTAATTGTTAATTGTTATGCATAATTGAAATATTTTCAAGGTATATATATTTGGTACTAAATTGTCAAATTTAAAAAATTTAGCTACAAGGTTAAAAAACTAAAAATTTTTACACCAGTAAGCTTATAATGATAACGGCAAGCAAAAGGATATAACCAATAAACAATGAGTTAATACCCAAAAAGATCCTGATTATAATGGTTTTTCTCAATTTCCTCCTAAACGATTTTGGTGACCTAATGAAGCCTCAGATTTTTGTATTTTTACTCAATTTAGTCTTCCGTTTGTTATTTTGTCAAATTGGTGTTAAATAAAGGAACAATTCAGTAATCTCAATATTGACATCTCTTTACTCTTGTCATGCAAAGTGCGACATCGCTCTTTCTTTTACGAATTACCACCAAAATTACTCCCAGACCTGCGAATCAAATTTTATATTCGCAGGTTTGGGAGTAATTCGTTAAAGAATGAAGAATTTCACACTTCACGAATCTAGGAGTCAAGAGATGCGAAGATTGGAATTACAAAATTTCCTTCTGTTTACACTGCTGGAAATCAAGGAATTTTTGACCACCTAAAAGTGATATTAAATCAAGTCGGAAGTCCTTGTTCCGACCACTGTTGGTATCGGGAAAAACCATTGTTGCTATTTCCGACCACCGGACAAGGTCGTCGGAAATAACATCCAATTTTGTAAAGTGATCGGAAAAAATCAGCTACTACAAAGATTGGTGAAAATTTCCAACTCAGAACGAATTTTTTTCTGACCACCTTTACTTTGTGGTCGGTATTTCCAACCATTAAGTAAAGGAGTAAAGATGGTTGGAAATACTGACCTATTTTGGTAAAGGTGGTCGGAAATCCTATTTTGATAAAATGTCACCTTTTCAACCATTTTTTAGGTGGTCGGAAAATAAAAAATTTCCACCTGTCTTAACATCAAATGGAGAACTAAATTGAACAAAAACACAAAAGTCTAGGATTACATTAGGTCACTAAAGTCGTTTTAGACGAAATTAAGAAAAACTATTATAGACTTATAATTGAGGACTATTTGGATATTAACTCAATAAACAATAATATAACCATTTACCTATTGTTGACTACTGGAACCACTTATTCCTCTTCGGTTTATTGATCTTTAAAAAAAAATATTAAAAAAAAAAAAAAAAAAAAAAAAAAGCTCAAAACCTTAGCTTTATACTCATGGTGATTATATTCAAACCTTTAGAACTTTATAATTTAACTAGTTTTTTTACGCGCATTGCGCGATTGGGATGATGCCCAATGTTTTTTTTAAATAAGTACTTTAAAGTATATCAATGTAAGATTATATTGGAATTGTTCATGCATAGATAATTGAATGTTAAATTTGCGTATTTAAATAGGCAATTCTAAATTTACAAATGCAAGATAATATAGTCAAGATTGATTATAATTGTCAATAAAATAATTGTATAGGTATGATTGAAACCAAATACGGGGCATAAGGGAGAGCAAATAAAAATTAGGGCATAAAATATTAAATATTTACTAATATTGAAGAGCTAACTGCTGATTGTCAAACAAGGACATTGCGAGATAGTTTCTCACTTCAATTTGTTGTGTGATTTGAATACTCTTTTTGTCAATAAATCTCTCAAGTAGTTAATATGATTGACTTAATTATATTTTTTATTTTTTAAAACAATTATTATTATTATTATTATTATTATTATTTTATTATTATTATTAAATATACATATATACCCTTAGGTCATTTTACATGTTAATCTAAACAGCTAATTTTTTCAAATATGTTCTTACCAACCGTTGATATAATTCGCTAGTCAAATTCGCTAATATAATCCGCTAACGCTAACTGCTAACAGATGATTGTCAAACAAGGACATTGCGAGGTAGTTCTTACTTCAATTTGTTATGTGATTTGAATATTCTCTTTGTCAACAAATCCCTCAAGTAGTTAATATGATTGAATTTATTAATTATATTTTTTAAATTTTTTCATGGTATTAATAAAATACCTGGTAAATAAATATATAGCATTATTTTGTATTATAACTTTGATATTTAATTAAAAATAATGCACAAAAAAGATAATAGACAATGTAGTGAATATAATGAATTTGAATTTAAAGAGTTTTTACATTGGAGAAATATAAAGACAATATAACTAATAAAATTATTTCTCTTAATTAATTTATTGATAATGAATAATTTTTTTTTAATAAAGACATTGTAGGGACAATGTAGCGAATATAATCAATTAATGAATTTGAATGTTAAGAATTTTTATATTGGAGAAAAACAAATACAATATAACTAATGAAATTATTTCTCTTATTTAATTTATTGATAATGAATAATTTTTTTTTTTAATAAAGACATTGTAGACACATAATTCTAAATTAAAGAAATGCATATGTATTTATTTTTTTTTGTAGTTACTAAATTATTATTTTTAAATTTAATAAGAGTAAAATCGAGTACTAATTATGCTAACTGTGATTGGGATGAGATTCGAACCTAAGACCTTTCTTATATTGAAATTAATGAGTAAGTTAACGGTGAACTAACAGAAATTAACGGAAAAGATAACATTTAACGAAAAAGTTAACGGATAATCATATTCATTAAGGATAAATTAGGAAATCCTAAAGAAAAATTAAAATATGATCAATCTGAGCCATTCATTTGATTAAAAAATTTGACCGTCATTTTTTCTACCCATTATAGGCCTAACTCTCTTGGGCTCTTATTAGTATATATATATAAGTATATAGTAGATAGTAGATATCTAACTTTTATATTATCGAAATAATAATTATATTTAATTATATTATTTGAAACTAAAAATACTTGACTAAAAAACGTGGTGACATTTTTGAAAGTAAAACATTGAGTGCAAGTAACAATTAATGAGTTAATTACTGATTTAATCCCTCGACTATAAGGATTTCACCAATCTAGTCCTCGACTTTCAAAATTTCTCAATTTAGTTCTCGACTATGCTTTTTTATTACCCGAAACAGTAATAACCGTTAGACATCTGTTAACTAGGGACCAAATTGATAATTTTGCTATAGTTAAGGGACCATTTCGGTCATCACATGCACCATTTTCTCTGAAAGTTAATTACTGAAATGGTCCCTTGACTATAGCAAAATTACCAATTTGGTCCCGAGTTAATGAATGTCTAATGGTTAAGACCATTTTGGGTAAAAAAAAAAAAAAAAAAGTATAGTCGTGGACTAAATTAAGGAATTTTGAAAGTCGAAGATCAGATTGGTCAAATACTCATAATCGAAGGACCAAATTGGTAATTAACTCTTAATCTAATCAACCTACCAATTTACCATTAAGCAATCATCATACCATAGATCATGGTTCACTTTATAAGGTGAAACACTGACATAATGTTCATTTTTAGTATATGGAATGTTTATTTTTAATATATTGAAATTCGGTTAAACTTACCACTCGCATATTTATGAATTTTGGTGGCGTAAAATTAAAATCATTTTTGATATGATTGGCATATATAGTGCTTATGCAGTTATGGATATTTTTTGTTATGGATTTTTGTCAAACAGTTACTGGACGAATCACAACAAAAGTAGATGTTTATGCATTTGGAGTTGTGTTAATGGAGATAATTACCGGCAAAAAAGCAATAGATGAAAGGGTGCCCAACGAGACGTGTCATTTAGTCACGTGGTTTCACAAAGTTATTAGCAGCAAAGGCCACAACTTTAAAAAGGCTATCGACCCAACTCTTGATCATCAAGATGAACAAACATTTGAGAGCATTTTTAAGGTTGCATTATTAGCAGCTCACTGCACTGCCAAGACATCATATCGGCGACCCAATATGGAACATGTTATAAACGTCCTCAGTCCTCTTGTACAGAAGTGGAAGCCTTTGAAACTCGAAGAAATTGGGGATAGAAATGGTGGCCTTAACCTTCACATCAGCCTCCCTCTCCAGTTTGATGACTTATCCACTCAAAATCAAAATTTGTCCTCCACGGATGACCAATTTTGTGGATATCGTCTCAATCAGAGTGCACGATTTTAATTTACACAAAATCTTAAGGCTTATGTGCATGAAGTGCTTCTTAATTGATTCCAGAAGGGAAGTTGAGGTGCAAGGAGGAAGATAGTGTGTTGGTGTACGCAAGTCGAGGTTCTGCAACACTCGTCTATTGGGTGTTTCTTAACTTAATGCGGATGAAACTTAACGATAGAAAGTTTGGTATTCGGGATGCTTGTTTTGGTATGCTCGTTGTGAAGTGACCAATGTTGCAACGCTAAGCTGGTTCAAGATGTTTGGAGAACAGGGGCGAGAGTGAAAGCCAATGAGGACGGCATTGTTGAAGCTCGCGAGCTCAAGAGATGCATAGAATGTGTAATGGGAGAGGGAGGAGCTGAGTTGAGAAAGAATGCTAAAAAATGAAGAGATTTACCAAGAAGTAGCATGAAAGAATGTGGATAGGATCTTCCTATTTCAATCTCATGGCTTATGTGCATGGAGTGCTTCTTCCTATTAATTTATTAATTAATCACTATTGTAGATTTTCTCTCAATTATTGTGCTTAATGCATTATTAATGTATATATAATATATATAGGAATGTTAATTTTACCCAGATCAAATGTGTTACTCATATCCCTGCCCCAATCCACCTCGCACTTGCCCCTACACACACATACATATGCGGAAGAGTTCAGGTGAGAATGGACTCATAAGTAAAAATTGAGGACAGATCTAATCCATCCATTCCAATAAATCACGATCGAGAATTGTTGAAAAATAAGGAGAAATTGGTAAGAATTATTCCTAGTATAATAAAAATTAGGCTTATAGTACCAATATAACAAGGACTCTCAATATGATGAGTCAATGTAGGATTCATATTCCTTGTACGTAGGACTCCTAGCCCAAAATATGTATAAATAGACTTCCCATTTATGAAAGATGACAAGCAATATTCAACAATACAACATTGATATTCTCTTCCTATTTTCTATACTCTCATATACTCGTTATTTTAACGGTTGTGTTGGCCAACCGTCGACTACCCAAAACTCATAAAACCAACATTGGCGCCGTTCGTGAAAATTAACGATTCGACTGAAGAAGCTCTGAAGGATTACTTCTTTGCAACTTCAATGATTAGAGAGTTTTACGCAGGCAGAAATAATTTATACCCCATGTTAGATAATTTTACGCCATAGTTTGTTCTTTGAAAGTTTTAATGTTTGCGTGAATGATATGCAATAAATAAAGCAGTAATGTAAAGGATAGATAGAGAGATAGAAGGAGAAATTTTTTTTATAGTGGTTCGACCAACTCAGCCTACTCCATTCTTCTCCTTAAAACACTTAGGGAGGTTTGCACTATCACGTTAATACAAAAGGGACGTTCAAGCCTTGAACACAAAGCGGGTCTTGAACTCCACAAGTTTTTCAACTCCTCAATGAGTTTACTCAACCTCTTTATACGTCTACCGAGTAGAGATGATACAAAGGGTTGAAGATAAGATTTCTTCAATCTCCAACTAAGAGCTTGGCTTCTTTGAACCTAAATTTAACTTCTTTCGCAGCACAAGTGTCTTGAATCTGGACAAGAACTTTGAACTTTTTTTTTTTTCTCTCTCACTGGTCTTGCTTGAGTATTGCTTTACACACTTTGAACACTTATAAATTTTTTGAATAAACCAGCACATTCTTCAGTTTTGAGTGAAGATATTTATAGGCGTTTTAGAAATGTGCCTGTTAGAGGGAAACCAATTTCAAACGTCTAATGACCAGTGGGTAGAGATCGTCGTATAATCCGGGGGTTAAGTAGACTTGTCATACTTTCCAGTCGTTAAACCACTTAATTTGCGTTGAACATTTCTTTTTGTTCTGCACAAAATGTCTAGGCTTTTTTTTAGGAAAATCTTCCTTGGGATGTGTACCTAGGACTCTCTTTGCCTTGGTCACATACTACCATAAAGCACTAGTGTTTTAAGGTTCCAAACTGTTGGCTCAGAGAATGTCTCGAGCAGTTCTTTTTGAATGGTTAACTGTCACTATTCGAGTTAACGTTTCGAACCTTAACACTCTACTACCTCTCATATACAAATTGTTGAACTTACCATTCGTTCCTCCTTTTACTCAAAAAGGTAGGCCCTTCCATCATTCAGCCTTGCAACATTTCGATCTTGAAGTCTGTTACTCTTCGAAAGATAGGCACTTCCACTATTCGGCCTTTGAAACCTTTCAGTCTTGAAATCTTCTACTATTCTTCTTCTCAAACTCTTCAAGTCTTCAACCTTTCAAAGCTCTGTCTCTGGTTATCTAAGATGTAACCATTCAGACTGTTTTGTTTTTTTGAAACATAACCTCTCAGGTTAATCGTTCGAATTATTCGAAAAGAGTTCCAAAGTCTAGAAGATAAAATAAGTAGGCGACTAAAATTCCTAACTTTTGGTAACACCAAAATCTAAATTACAAATGTTCCTAACACTAATGTACGCTTAACAAACAAACATGAACATGATTTTCAAAAACCTTAATAAACGAACACGAACACGAACACGAACACTCCAAAACCTTAACTAACAAACACGAACAACCTTCGTTCGTTTATGTTCGATTCATTAACAACCCGAGGAGTACTATACGAAATTGATAAAGTGGAATATGGGATGGTTAGTTTGAAAACTCGAATGTTCTCAAAATTTTGGCGATTGAAGAGGAGTATTGAATGGTTAATTTGAGAACTCGGATGCTTTCGTTATTTTGGAGGTCGGAGAGGAGTATGGGATGGTAAATTTGAAAACTCGAACGTTCTCAAAATTTTGGCGATCGGAGAGGAGTATCGGATGGATAGTTTGAAAACTTGAGCGTTCTCAAAATTTTGGCGATCGAAGATGAGTATTGGAAGGATTGGTCATGTGGATTGGTCGAACAGACTGTTAGATAGACTAGTCATGTGGACTGGATGGTTGAACTGGTTGGATAGACCGGTTAGTAGACCGATCAAGTAGACTAGTCAGACCGGACGAACGGATAGGTCAAGTGAACTGGTCGGACTGGTCGGTGGATTGGATGGATGGACTGTACAGATATAACCAAAAAATGGAGGGACGGGCTGGTCAGCATGGCTGACCGGTGGGTCCAACTAACTGGTTGGCCGAGCCTGGGGAGCTGACTGGTCAGTTAAAAGGCGACTAGCCGAGAAAAAAAAAACATGAGAGACTGGCTAGTCAGCCCGGCTAACCGGTCGGTCAGAGAGACTGACCAGGGAACCAGGAGGGGCTAACCGGCTAATCCGAATGCGGTGAGTCAGCCGATTGGTTGGCTGACAGAAGAGCTGACCAGTCGGTCAAAAAGATTGACCGATAAGCCAGGGGCGAACTAGTCAGTCAAGGTGACCAACTGGTCAATTTACCTCACGGTCTGGGCATAAGGTGGTTCGTCGGAAGCTGACCAGTCATACTATTTGTTAAAAAAAATTGGTGTGGAGTGGAGGCAATACCGGTCGGTCGGAGGTACTAAGAACTTGACATTCTCAAATTTTAACAGAGTTATAGAGAGGAGTAAACATAAGGAAAGGAGATTCGGTGAGGAGTTAAAAACGGAGTGTTGGAGAAGAGTAAACAGATTGAACAGAGATTGAGCGTTTAAGCATGCAGTTATGTAGAGGAGTAAAATGGCGAAAGTTGGCCGACTCCCCACCACTCGGCACTCGACTGCTCTCCCACCCCTAAGTGGTTAACTACTCTCCCACCATATCGGTGGTCAACAGCTCATAAGGAAGGTACGCGCCTAGTGCATGTGTGTTTTTTTTTTCTTTTTGTTAACTAATTTTCAAGTTTTGTAGGATGATAAAATGCTCAATGGTAAGACATCGGGCACAGTGGTCAGCTTTAAGCTTGGTACGCACCTCGTTGGTTTGTTTGTTTGTATTTTTTAAAAAAATTTGAGAGTTCAAATGAATTTTTTTAAGGAAATTTTGAGAGTTTATTTGACATTTATTCTCAATTTTTGATGGAGTTCACAAATTTACAAGTATGTAATGAATATTAATAATTGTAAATTGTAAAATTACATAAATGAGTAAACAAGTGTAGTAAATTTTGTGTGTAAAAATGGCATTTTTAATTTATCATATAGTGTCATAGTGGTATAGATTTACTTTCTCAATTATTCACAATATATATTTAACCTCTAGATTCTTATTAGTCATGTGACAAATTTGGCATGACATTAGCATTTTGTTAAAAACTCTATGGATCATACCAAATCTAAAACTTCCATAAATATTTAAATACAGTTTGACAGAGCTTATTTAGGAGCTTATAACTTATTTTAAGTTACTAATAAGCTATAAACTTTGTTTGGTAATGTTCTCAAAATAAGCTCCTAGCTTAAAATAAGAGCTTATTTTGGAACGCTACCTTAAGTAGCGTTTCAAAATAAGCTCCTATCTTCCTAACTTTTTTTCCATCTTTATCCTTATTATTTTAAAGAAATGACATAATTTATTCTTCCCAATTAAAACCCCTTTCTCTTCTCTTTTATTCGCAACTTTCACCGCAAATATTATTATTATTATTATTATTATTATTATTATTATTATTATTATTATTATTATTATTAGATCAACAATATTGATACTTCATCATGAGATGCTAGATCATGATTATGCTAATAGTTTTATTTCAAAATGTTAATTTTTTTTTAAAGACAAAATGTTAAATTTTAATATGTAAACAAACTAATTTAAATTTTATGAAGATGTCCTTTTTAGTCTTTTTACATTTATCAGCTTATCAAAAAGTTAATTTTACCAAACACTTTCAATCATAACAGCTAGCTTAACAACTCTTCAGTTTTCAGCTCCAAGCTTATAGCTTTTCATCTTTCAGCTCTTAGCTTATAGCTTTTCAGCTAGGTTTGCCCAACAGAGCCAAAATCTACATTGCAAATAATTGAAATACTAAATTTATATTACAATCACAATTGATATACTAAAAGAATTATTTCTGTCCTGGAAGAATTGATTAGGTAGGTAAATCATGATTCTAATACTTGGATGGTCACAATGTTAAGCACATCACGCTTTGTCTTCCTAGTGTGGTGCGTACACTCTCAGATAGTGGGGTAAAAATTTTGTGAAATGCATGTCTTAAAAAAGTGAGTAAATTTCAAACTACAAATTTGATTTAAAAAGCAAATTTCCATTATTACCTACTGTTGCGGCTTATATTTATCGGATGCTAATAAGTGGCTGGTGACGAGACATTCAATGAGTATGCATTTCTATTACTTTCTAGCTGACTCCACTAGACTCGCAGCTCGGGATCCAATCTAATTGTATGTAATACTAATTTATGATCTAATCCAATTGTATGTAATACTAATTTATGGACTGCAGAGCATTTCATCTATATATGCCTTGAGATTCAAATATGAGGATCCATCCTCCTTAGTTGCAGCCTTAGCCAAATCTTTCCATTTCTTAGCATTCTTTCTCAATTCCTCTCCCTCTTCCCCTCCACCCATCACACATTCTATGCACCTCTTGAACTCATCAGCTGTGAAAACCCCTTCTTCATTAGCCCCCACTCTCACCCCCGACTTCCAAACATCTTGAACGAGCTTAGCGTTAGAAAGCTGGTCATTCCATACGGGACACGCCAAGATCGGCACTCCAGAACTCAGGCATTCGAGGATTGAATTCCACCTGCAGTGAGTGAAGAAACACCCGACAGACGGGTGTTGCTGAACCTCCACTTGCCCGCACCAACACACTATCTTCCCTTGCTTCTCCAACTCCTCCTTGCACCCCAACTTCTCCTCGGGCTTCTCGCCCGTGTTCAACTCCCTAAGCACCCACAAGAATGGCTTCTTGATCTCCAAAAGCCCCTTAGCAATCTCCTCCAACATTGTGGTTGGGAAATCGGAGTAGCTACCAAATGCCAAGTAAACCACGGAGCTCTTGGGCTGAGAATCTAGCCATTCAACATAGTCGCTTGACTTTTCTCGCAAGTCGCACACAACCGCAGTGTCGGAAGGGTCTTCCCCATCCAAATACGCAGAAGGAATCAAAGGCCCAATCCCAACCATTCTCACCTTCTTTATAGCCCTCAAAGCATCAAACTCCAAGGCATCAAAACTGTTCACTAGAATCTCTGGGTTCTCTTCATTCTTAATCTCCTCAATCTGATCCCTCAGACTCTGCAAAGCCCAATCCAAATCATCTGTTGTCGTTTTGGACAACATAAAAGAAGGAAAATCTCGTACAGTCAGAACCGGCAACCCTGGAACCTCCACCCCTTGATCCCCACTACAATTCCTAAACAAATCCCCATAATCTGTGAAATAATGGTAGTAAATATCGAAAACCGCGGCGGGTTGGATCCAAAGCAAAGTGAACCGAAGCTGAAACCTCCGGGCGACCACTCCGGCCCAGGCCATGGCCGTGGCGAAGATAACTCGGGTGAAGGGTTTGCCTTCCTGGTTCTTGGCGGCGATAAGGTCGGCCAGGGCGGCGGAGGCTTTAGTCTTGACGGAAGCCCAGAAGTCGTTTACGCTGACGCCTTGGAACTGGCCGTCGAAACCGTCGGAATACGGAGCCAAATCCAGGCCTTGTATTTCCGACCGGTTAGACATGCGATTAATGGCGGAAGAACTTGTGGAAAAGGTGACTTTAACCCCCATTTTCACGAGACGTTTAGCGAATTGTAGAGAAGGATTAAGTTGGCCTTGCGATGGAAACACCGCCAAAAGAACATGGCAATTTTCCATTGTGCTAGATAGTGGATATGATCAGGGAATTGAAGCCTGTCAATTGGCAAATATAAATTGAAGTTCATGCCCCAACAATGGCAGAAATTAACGGCTAACCAAGATTATTAGCGTCAAACAAGAACATTTTTTTTATACATGGAGGACTAAAAGATAGATGGGATTTTACTGGAATGCTAGCGGTTAATTAGTTAATGGTTAACCGGGATGGGGATCTATAAAAATCAAAAAAGTTCTGTTCTTTGAAAATTACAGGGCATCTTAGTGGTTGGTTTTTGAAGAATTTTTGCAGGAGGAAAGAGAAAATGGGAGAGGAGGGAAAAACAAAATAAAAAAAGAAAACAAAAAAAAAATACTCTTTCTGTCCCATTTTATGTATTTAATTCGGTTAACGATCCTGGACTGAAGTTATTTTTAATTTAATTTTTTATAATATAAAATTTAGAATTAGTATACAAATTTTATATATTTAGAAACTACACTAAAGTACTATTAAACACAAAAAAAAAATACAAATAAGTAAAAATACTAAATAAAATAAACAAAAAATAAAGAGTTAGTTTAACCAATGAATAGTAAGTAGGACAGATAAAATGGGACAGAGACAGTACTACTTAACACGTCCGCTGGGCACGCAAGTTTTGCGCAACGCACAAACCAATGCAGATCAAAATGTTCATGGAACCTACATTTCTGACCAAAAACCTCATTTACTGCAAAGACCGCAATTTTTCTCTCACCTTGATACAACCCTGAGGTTGTATGGGTTGCTCTTCTTCGAGTCAAGAGCCAAACTCCATGGCTGTGCTTCGAGTCACAGCCAAACTCCCAATGACTATACTTCGAGCGATAGTCTAACTCCCAAAATGTCTCCAGACATTCATAAATATATTCTTCATTGATATTCTTCAAATAGACAAATACACATGTAGCTATTTATACTGATAATAAAACTACCCACCACCCCTTTAACTATCCACTATCCCATTACATGAATAACTAACTACCCATTATTACACTATAAACTAAACCACTAATAATAATAATAATAATAATAATAATAATAATAATAATAATAATAATAATAATAATAATAATAATAATAATAATATTGCAGCTGGTTGTATCATTTCCATGCCCGTCAAAATCACCTTGTCCTCAAGGTGATGGTACACAATGGTTGATTGTATCATTGCCATGCCCATCAAATTCACCTTGTCCTCAAGGTGATAATTAATCAGAAATAGCTCCAAAAGCTTGAATAACTCTGCTTCAGTACCCAACGTGATGTACGTAAATTATGGCCACCTAGCTTCAATTCCTCCATTTTATGTTCATGTTGCCTTGCAAGAATCGACCGAAGTTGTAGCAAAACATGCTTTGCTAGGTACTCCAATGTAATTGTGGGATTTGCAAGACAGCACGAGTGATACTGTATTGGTATGGAAACTGTATGGAACTTGATATCTTCTTGAAGCTGCTATGCAAATCCACGACTCAACAAGTGTTACTCTGTTTATGGTTTTTCTTTCTTTTTTTTTTTTTCGCAAGCCTGAAAATAATTTTTCCAGGTTGATACTCTCAATGAAAGCACCAATTGATACAACCCTGAGGTTGTATGGGTTGCTCTTCTTCGAGTCAAGAGCCAAACTCCATGGCTGTGCTTCGAGTCACAGCCAAACTCCCAATGACTATACTTCGAGCGATAGTCTAACTCCCAAAATGTCTCCAGACATTCATAAATATATTCTTCATTGATATTCTTCAAATAGACAAATACACATGTAGCTATTTATACTGATAATAAAACTACCCACCACCCCTTTAACTATCCACTATCCCATTACATGAATAACTAACTACCCATTATTACACTATAAACTAAACCACTAATAATAATAATAATAATAATAATAATAATAATAATAATAATAATAATATTGCAGCTGGTTGTATCATTTCCATGCCCGTCAAAATCACCTTGTCCTCAAGGTGATGGTACACAATGGTTGATTGTATCATTGCCATGCCCATCAAATTCACCTTGTCCTCAAGGTGATAATTAATCAGAAATAGCTCCAAAAGCTTGAATAACTCTGCTTCAGTACCCAACGTGATGTACGTAAATTATGGCCACCTAGCTTCAATTCCTCCATTTTATGTTCATGTTGCCTTGCAAGAATCGACCGAAGTTGTAGCAAAACATGCTTTGCTAGGTACTCCAATGTAATTGTGGGATTTGCAAGACAGCACGAGTGATACTGTATTGGTATGGAAACTGTATGGAACTTGATATCTTCTTGAAGCTGCTATGCAAATCCACGACTCAACAAGTGTTACTCTGTTTATGGTTTTTCTTTCTTTTTTTTTTTTTTTCGCAAGCCTGAAAATAATTTTTCCAGGTTGATACTCTCAATGAAAGCACCAATTGATACAACCCTGAGGTTGTATGGGTTGCTCTTCTTCGAGTCAAGAGCCAAACTCCATGGCTGTGCTTCGAGTCACAGCCAAACTCCCAATGACTATACTTCGAGCGATAGTCTAACTCCCAAAATGTCTCCAGACATTCATAAATATATTCTTCATTGATATTCTTCAAATAGACAAATACACATGTAGCTATTTATACTGATAATAAAACTACCCACCACCCCTTTAACTATCCACTATCCCATTACATGAATAACTAACTACCCATTATTACACTATAAACTAAACCACTAATAATAATAATAATAATAATAATAATAATAGTATTGCAGCTGGTTGTATCACACCTCACCCTCTCTCCTCCCCTTCACCCATCATTCCTCAAAAATTGATCTTAAATCTCCTAATTGGGATGCTCTTAACATCTCGTTTGGTTGGAGGGAAGGAATTAGGTAGGAAAAGAATTGCAATTCCATGGGAGAGGAATAATATGAAAATAAAGTAGTAATTTTAATTTTAATTCTAGTGTTTGGTTTGCAGTAATAGAATTACTAGAAATTTCAATTTAAATGTTTGGTATAATGTGAATTTGAAAAGGAATGAGAGTTTTGAGAAAACATATTTGATTGAGGTTGGACTAGTAATTAAAGTTCTATGTTGAGGGTAGAAGGAAAAGACGCGCTATAATCAAAAGAGAGATGTCAAACATCAATTTTATGTTAAAAAATAGAGTGTTAATTTTGTCTCAAAGTTATTTTTTTTTCTTCCTAAAATCCATCGAATTGAAATACCAATGGGGGGACATGTGATTCTAATTCCTTGAAAATGATGGAATTTTAATTCCACGAAATTGCAATTTCCTCCAACCAAACAAATGAATTTGTTTGCCTTCGAAATTATTTGGGAATGGAGTTGTAATTCCCTCAAACCAAACGCCAGGTAAGTCTTTAAAAATCTATTAATATTCAAAAACTTATTAACTTTTATAAACTCTACCAGAATAGGATTTATGTAGATTGACTTTTCTTTCACTAATATAAATAGATGAAATCCAACATTCAAATCCCAAACTTTTCTAATCCCTATGAGTAGATGATAGTATATGTAGTAGAGTAATTTTACATGTACTCTCATTTTATACTCCGACCTATTTTCTACTTATTATGATTTGACATGATTTGATTGTTTAATATAATATGATGGTCATGATTTCACTACTGGAAATTATGGAATTTTCGATCACCTGAAAGTGATCTTAAATCAAGTTGATACCAAAAAGTGGTCGAAAATAGCAACAAAGATTTTTCCGAATACCAAAAGTGGTCGGAACAAGGATTTTGACTTGATTTAAGATCACTTTCAGGTGGTAGGAAATTTCATAATTTCCAGTAGTGTTTTTATCCATTCTTTTTTTTTCTCTAATAAAATTTAAATACATAAATTTTTGAAGTTAAAGTAGTATTTTTGTTTTTTTTTTTTTTTGAGTACTAGTAGTACTTTTGTATATAGTATAACTCATAATATAATTTGACTGATTGATGTAATTATGTATGATAAAAATTTATGTAATACCGTCTCACGGGTATCAATCCGTGAGACAAATCGAATCTTTAATTAATAATGTCAAAGATTCGACCTGTATTCTCACAAAGTGTTGCCAATCATGTATAGTTAGTGGAAAATTGTGTTTTGGGACGGACCAAAGTGTTCTAGTTTTCTCAGACCATATCTGATATATCCAACTAACGTCATCACTAACGTAATTATTCTTGTCTTTCCTAAGTGCTGGACATATATAAACACCCAGAACCTACTTTCCATAAAATTATATTTCATCACCATCATAGAATCATATATACATCTCACTCTACTACTAAAAGAGCCAGCCAAGAATGGATGACTGCCATGTTCTTCTGGTCATTTTCCCGGGCCAAGGCCACATTAATCCCTCTTTACAATTTGCTAAACGTCTTGTCAATCTGGGAGCCAAGGTCACCTTATCAACAGGCTTCTCCGCCATGAATCGCATGTCGAGCCGGCCGGAAATACAAGGCCTAGACTTCGCCCCCTTCTCCGACGGCTACGATGCCGGATTAGAACCCGCCGACTTAAACGACTTCTGGGCTTCCATAAAGACCAGAGGCTCCGACGCCGTGGCCAAGCTTATCACGGCCAAGAAGGAGGAAGGCAGGCCCTTCACTCGCCTCATCTACACCACAGTCATGTCTTGGGCCGGGGTGGTGGCGCGTGGCCTTCACGTTCCGGTGACGTTGCTCTGGATCCAACCCGCCACGGTTTTGGATATTTACTACCATTACTTCACGGAGTATGGGGATTTGTTCAGGAATTGTTCTGGGAAGAATCGAGTGGTGGAGGTTCCAGGAGTTCCGCCTCTGGGTGTCAGAGATTTTCCTTCTTTTCTGTTCTCCACTGAAACAAATGTTAATTATGATTTGGATTGGGCTATAGAAGCCATGGGAGACCAGATTGAGGAGATCAACGGTGAAGAGAACCCCAAAGTTCTAGTGAACACTTTTGATGCCTTGGAGTTTGATGCTCTAAGGGCTATAAAGAAAGTAAGAATGGTTGGGATTGGGCCTTTGATTCCTTCTGCGTATTTGGATGGGAAAGACCCTTCTGATACTGCGTTTGGGGGCGACTTGAGACAAAACTCATCAAACGACTATGTTGAATGGTTAGATTCCCAGCCCAAGAGTTCAGTGGTTTACTTAGCATTTGGTAGCTACGCCGATGCTCCAAACACAATGCTAGAAGAGATTGCTCAAGGGCTTGTGAAGACTAAGGTGCCATTTTTGTGGGTGTTGAGAGAGACATCCAAGGGCGAAAAGCCCGAAGAAAAGTTGAGGTGCAAAGAGGAGTTGGAGGAGCAAGGGAAGATAGTGCGTTGGTGTGCCCAAGTAGAAGTTCTGCAACACCCGTCTATCGGGTGTTTCCTGACACACTGCGGGTGGAATTCAACGCTGGAAAGCCTAGCTTCAGGAGTGCCGCTTGTGGCATGTCCGCTATGGAACGACCAGTTTTCGAATGCTAAACTCATTCAAGATGTTTGGAAGTTGGGGATGAGAGTGAGTGCTAATGAAGAAGGGGTCGTCGAAGCCGATGAGTACAAGAGGTGCATAGAGTGTGTAATGGGAGGAGGGGAAAAGGGAGAGGAATTGAGAAAGAATGCTAAAAAATGGAAAGAATTGGCTAAGGGTGCAATGAAGGAGGATGGATCCTCATATTTGAATCTCAAGGCATATATGGATGAAATGCTTTGCAGTCCATAAATTAGTATTGGAATTAATATAATCTTTCAAGTAGCTAGTTTTGTATGGAATGAGACATTTACATAAGGTTGTCCTCTAGGAATAGTGTGTGGTAAATAGTAGAAATTAAAACAAGCACAAGTTATGTAAGTCATGTATAAGCTAATCCAAGCAAGTGTAGTGAAATGTTGGAATAAGTGATGAGCAAGTAAGATAAGCTAGGTAGAAGAACTAAGAAAATTTACAAGGGGACAAATATTCAAGATAAAGATAAGGAGTCGGAATATGCCAAACTTTGCCAAGATGGTACCAGGTTTCTTGGGATGGGACCATGGAATGACTTAGCAGGGTCAGGGGAGATGCAACAGGGGTGCCACCAGTATCCTCATAGTCATTATTGTACAAATTAAAAAAAATAAATAAATAAATTTAAGTTAAATACAAATGTATAAAGAAGAAAAAAAAAATATGGATATGTTTACATGCATGTTGCTACATGCACCTTGGTTCACGATGTAACTATTATTCATGAGTCATGTAATACACATATATATTCCTTTAAAACACACACATATAGAGGTAAGATCAAAAGAGAACATGGTCCTCTTGTAAAAAATAAAGACATACTGATCTCAGCTGTTCATTAAGATTAATCAATGGTTAAGGATATCATGAGTAAAAAAATACATAGGGTCAATTTTATAAATATTGAACACTTTTAAGAGCAGGGTTCATTTTAGAGGGTGTGGATCCCTACTAGTCAAAGTCCCTCGAGTTTGATGATTTCACCTATAGTCCTAACTTCCGTAATTATAATATGTGATTCCTCGAGTTGCAAAAATTGACCTACTGTCATCCTCTCGTTAGTTCCTTCCGTCTTAGCCGTCAAAAGTAGAGGTAGATATGTCATTAAACAAAAGTATTAATTAAATAAAAACGCCTTTCGTTGTGCGCCGCCAGGTGTCCCGCTTGCATGTAGTACCCCCGCTCAGGGGAAGCATCCAGAAGGACTTGCCAGCGTTCGGATCTGAGCCTTGGAGGGCCATCGTTTTCCTCCTCCGATTCTGTTCGCTGAGGTTACGGTGGATGAAGAGCGACGTGGGTTTGGAGGGCCATCGTTTTCCTCCTCCTTCAATTCGCCGCCTTGTGGGCATTGTTACAATTTGATGGGGAGCCCAATCTCTGGTGAATAGATGAAAACAAAAATCAAATTGTCTACAAGTTTGGCTCTAATTTTGTGTTCGTGTGGTGGGTTGATGACTGAAAACAAAAACCTAATTCTCTGGTGAGCTGGAACACCTTGGCGGCGCACAACACCGGCATCCTAATCCGCCATGGGGATACTGGACGATTTCTTCACTAAATTAGTTAATACTGGAATGCTAGCGGTTAATTAGTTAATGGTTAACCGGAATGGGGATAAAAATCAAAAAAGTTTTCTGTTCTTTGAAAAATGCATAACACTTAGGAAAAATTATCCAATTAATAAATTATAAATCCAACGTTAAATTTTGGGAAAGTGACAATTTAGTTTCTAGATTATAACTATAGTGTAGGATAAGCGGCGGATGGTAATCATTGTAGATATATACGAGTGGACCATGCATGATCCACATTACAAGGTAGATCAGACCATTGATGTATATGCTTGTATGAGATTATCTCTTGGATTCTTATCATAAGACGAGTCAAGTCAAGATAAAAATATAATACTTATATTGAAAAATGTAATATTAATTTGGAATATAAAATGTTTATTACTAAATTGTAATACTTTTGAAAAAAAATGTAATTTTTTTATATTTTGATTTGAAAGTATTACATTTTTTAAAAAGTATTTGCATACACTTTATTCATTATTAGTATTATATTTTTCAGTATAAGTATTACATTTAGTAATAAACACTTTATTCATCATTAGTATTATATTTTTCAGTATAAGTATTACATTTTCATATTGACTCGACGTGTCTCAAGAATATTGACCTTTATTTTTAGTATACATAAGGTTCACTTTTAGTGTACTACACATTTATTTCTTGAAGGTTAATGTTTAGCATATTGCATATTCATTTTTATTAGAATAAGGTTCAAATTGGCCACTGAACGTAACCTGAAAATGCAATTAGGCCACTGAACGAAAAAAAAAGTGCAATTAGGCCATTGAACACTCAAAAAACGTGCAATTAGGCCACTGAACTCTCCAAACATATGCAATTTTCTGGATAGCAGGTTACCATCAATTTTAGCAGGTTACCTGCTTACGTGGCAGCTTAGTTGGCATTTTTAATAATTTTTAAAAATTAATTTTAATAATAAATTTTATAAAAAATTGGAAAAAATTAAATAAAAAATAAAATAAAGTCATTTTTATTTTTTTAAAAAAAATTTAATAAAAAGTTATTATTAAAATTTATTAAAAATTAATTAAAATTTATTAAAAATGCCAACTCAGCTGCCACGTAAGCAGATAACCTGCTAAAATTGAGGGTAACCTGCTATCAGGTGAAATTGCACATTTTTGGAGTGTTCAGTGGCCTAATTGCACTTTTTTTTGTTCAGTGGCCTAATTGCACTTTCAGGTTACGTTCAGTGGCCAATTTGAACCTTATTCCTTTTTATTATATTACCTAAAAATAAACATATAGTACATTAAAAATGAATATTTAGTGTACTAAAAATAAACATTTATTAGCGGTTAACTTTACAATGTAAATTATGGTTCATAATATAATTTGCCAGACAGAGGGAAAGGGAGCCAATGGGGGCAGTTTCCAATCTTTATATGATGCATCATGATTTATATAATAGTGTGTACCATGATCCAAATTATCAACAAATGGTATTCTCTTGTTATAATGAAATTTATTTTCATTCCTAAAATGCAATGGAAAAACACAAATATAAAAACATATCACTTCATTTTACTTACTATACATCATAATAGAAACAATCTAGGGTTTTAGAAGTTAAAAGTGCGATTATTGTTCATTTTAATAATCACACAATTTGAAGTGTTATTTAATGAACATAAAATTATGTGTGAAGAGATTGTGAAACTTGAACATCCTTAATTTATGTAATACATGAGATTGTGAAACTTGAACATCCTTAATTTATGTAATACATGAAAAAGTGGTGCACTAAGAATAAACTTGTAATTGATTGAAAATGAACCCAAAAAAAATGAATTTGAACAAATCCATCTATACAAAGTTGATGAATAATATAGTAAAAATGAACATGTAGCATAATAATAATGAATCGGTCTTTTTTTTTTTTTTGAATACTACTTACCTGTTCATAACTACTTTCTCAACCAATTAAAGCACAAAGAGTCAATATCGTCTACTTTCTCAACCAATTGAAGCACAAAGAGTCATATCGCATCCATTAAGGTTTGATCGCACAACCTCCCACTTAGGGTAACTTGGTGCCATTAGATTACAAGGTCCTTGGCTGAACCGGTCTTTATTTTAGTAAAACTGAAACTATATTGTAATGCTTGGTACCTCTCCCAACATGATGTGACTTATAATTATTGGGCGCCATGAATTTGCTGACCCCACACACTTTTAATTAAATGCTAAATAATCTTATCAAATTGTGTCATGATGGTAAGATATCAGGTGTGGCTGACTCTTTCCGTGCGGTTGTGTAACTTGATTCATTTACATATTCTTGGTGGTGCATCTACTCCTAAGTGCACCATAAGACACTCATAAGTTCACCACAAATCGCTTATAAGTGCACCAGCGGACTCAGATATTTCTTGTAATGGCTGGTGTATTTAACTATGTTTGATGGTGCACTTAGATATGTGCACCACAAACCCGCACTTTCACATACTAGCACTATGTGGTGCACCACGTATCACTCCTAAGTGCACCACATACCAGCACTTAATGCACCACATAAATAAACTTGACGCATAAAATTACCAAAATGTCACCGTGTTTTTTCCATTAGTGCACCATATACCATCACTTTGTGGTACACCACAGATCAGATTACTCAAAAGTGTACCACAGAGCACTCATAAGTGCACCACACACCAGCACTTAGTGCAAGAGCGAAATATACATGGTGCAATAAATTATCAAAATGTCATCACATTTTTTCCCATCTTCATTGATTTTCAACCGTTAATCTGAGCGCATTTAATGGTCCAGATGAGTCCACACAATTGCATGGGAACAACCAACCGCATTATTAGAACCAAATTCTAAGAATATAATACTTCATTATGTAAAAAGTGTAGACAGATCCACACCTTTTATCTTGAGAAATCAAAGACCGGAATCTTATTACTAAACTTTCAAATTTATAATAATTATAAAACGAACCCCGCTTTTAGTAGTTTTTAATATTTATAAAATTGATCACATATTTTTTT